GTTGACTGTTGCTGAGGCATCTGCAGTCTTTAGTGACTCTGGTATAATCCCATCCTATAAGGCTCCACTCTTGCTGTGGACAAGGTCTCCTGCAGCCTTTTCCTTCTTTTAAACCACGACCCAGCCTGGTGAACACACTTGGCTCTGGAATGTGACTGATAGTGAACTAAACTCTGGACTTTGTGACTCTTCTGACCTCTGGCCCTACTCAGCCTGAGACCTCATTTGTGGACATCAGAGGGACAGTGAATACCCTACACTTGGCTGAGCAAGTTTGCCATCCTGGCAGAATGAGTCACAGCTATGTCCTGGTAGAGGCTGCCATGAGCTTCCGTATCACAAGTCACACATTCTAGTCCCCAGAAAGTGCAGGAGGAAGATAGGACCTAGGTGTTGGGTCACAGGAGTCCTGGTTCTGAGCATCAAGAGGAGTGGACTCTGGTCATCTGAGTGACCCTGACATGTGTTCTATAAAGAATGAAATATCGCCTGGACATGGCGATACATGGCTTTAACCCAGCACTCAGGAGGTAGATCTCTGTGAGATCACGGCCAGCCAGCTGGGACTACAGGGATACCCTGTCTCAAAAAACCAAAAGAAAAAAAAAAAATGAAATATGGGGTTAGTGAGGACCATCTGAGGAAACGAATGGGCAAAACCCTTGAGGCCTGTCAAAGGCTTCAAAAAAATCTATGCCAAGACTGTCGCTGCCAGTGACACCTGACCCAATCCCTGCTGCCTCCTCAGAGCTGCTGGGCCTGGGCTCCTGATGAGACTGAGGCTCAGTGGTGCCCCCAGCTCCTTCTGAGGGTTAGAAAGCTCTCTGCTGTGTCCACAGGAGGCCTGGGAGTGAACTTTCTCTCTCTCTCTCCCTCTCTCTCCTCTCCCTCCATTCACTGGCTACTCTGAGCTTCCTCTAGGCCTCTCCATTCTTCTCCATTCCCAGCTCATCTCGGCCTCCAGGCCCACTACCTTGTTTTCTTCTACTTTGGCTCCTACTGGCTGGTCACGCACCACATTGCAGAACCTCTCCTAACTCGTTTTTACTCACTTGAAATCACACCGGTGTGTGGGAGGTTCCGCCCTGCCTTTGACTACAGGACGCTGTGGTCACTGGAGGGGACACGCACAACTCGTATTCCCCCCGACCCCTCAGTGATTGCAGGATGCTGCCCTGGGGTTCGGGAATTTAACTCGAATCAGCAATAAAAAAAAGGATGCTTTTCTTTTGTTGCCTGATTCTTCTCGTTCTCATTTTTACGTGACCTAAGCCAAACCTTTCTCTTCCTGCTTTCTCTCTCTCTCTTTCTCTCTCTAGAAAGAGAGAGGAACCTTAAACCATGATTCAGGAAATCAAGAGATTAGTCTTCATTTTTGTTGTAGGTTTGCCGTCGGCACGAGCTCTACGTCAGCTTCCAGGACATCGGCTGGCTGGTAATTTCTGCCTCCCCTTCTCTCCGAATCCCACCTGCAGATCCTTGTGCATCCCTAGGGTGCAGGTGGAGTTGCCGGTGTCTTTAATCTTCTGTATTTTTTTTGCCTTCTGGGTTTTCCCAGTTTCTAGTGTTCTACATATGTCCTTTCATGGTGCAAAGTGGTTCTTTTTACAGACTTAAAAGTCATGAAAATGAAGCAACCTAAGCCCTCAACCAAGTAAACTATCAATGCTACAACAGAGAAACAGGCTGGGTGGGCAGGGCCTCTGGACTTTTGCTGCAGGTGCTGCAGCAGGAGGCAGGTGTTGGGGGTGACAGGCTGGGGAGGAGACAGTGGAGGATGGGGTGTGATACACATAGCTGGGCCCAGCCCTGCCTGCTGAGGCTCCCTGAGTAAAGTCAGCCTCTGGGTGGGAACGGACCAGGAGAGACCGAGGGTGCACAGCCCCAGGTTGTCCTCTGACAGATGCTGTGCTGAGGGTCTCTGGAGGAACACATGAATGGGACTTACCTTCTCCCACCTGCAGGACTGGGTCATCGCCCCCCAGGGCTACTCAGCCTACAACTGTGAGGGGGAGTGCGCCTTCCCACTGGACTCCTGCATGAACGCCACCAACCACGCTATTCTGCAGTCCCTGGTCAGTACCTCAGTGCCCTGCTGGGACCTGGGGGTGCTGGGCAGGCAGGAGGGTGGTGAGGACAGTGACAATGGGGAACCTTCTCTGCAGCTGTGGAGTTCGAGTCCCACACTTCTGTAAAGTTTGTTCCTCACAGGGGCGTGCTGTGCACGTGGACACCTGAGCATGTGTGCACTGTCCTTGCACAAGTGGGATGCCTGTGCACCTGTGGGGAGCCCACACAACATCCTACAAGGGGCCTGTGTGACGTTAGTGCACACGTGCCCCGTGAACCCTAGTAAATCTGGCCACACGTGTGTGTTTATC